AAAGTCCATCCAACAGAAACTAACATTCATACACATTCACACACCGATGCACAGTGTCGGGAGCAATCTGGGGTTCAGTATCTTGCTCAAGGATACTTCGACGCATGGCAGGAGGAGCCAGGGATCGAACCAACAACCTTACGATTGGGGGACGACCCGCTCTGCCTCTGAGCCGCCATGTGGCCATTCTTACCAATTGCAACAGTATTACCAGTAGTATATATTTTCCTGGGATTCAAAAAGGCACGAGTACAGCATTGTCAAATGTTTGTAGACAATTTTATTATCCACCCTCTTTTCTTTAACTATTATTTATTAATAATGATATTATTATTTATTAAGAGACAAAAGGACAACAAATCAAACAACATTGCAAAAACAAACACAAAAAACAGCAAACAGAAGCAGCAAATCACCCAAAAGCAGACAAAAACATAAAATGATGCCATATATTAACAAACATTTATTTTTTATCACCAGGCCTACAAAAAGTACATATTTAGAACTAACAGGGCATAAAAATGACATAACAAATTGCAATTGTATGGACTGTCTTATCTGTATCTGTCCTTGGGTGACCTTAACGGCCTTATGAATAAAATAAAATAATTGTTGATCCTAACCCAACCTAAAATGTCGGTATGACGATATGGGAATGACACCAACAAGAGTTTCAGGGGCTAGATGTTCTAAATCCTGAAGAGCCAGGAGGAAGCACAGTGGTCAAGTTTTCTCACAGACCACTTGTTGAAAGGTTATCGTGGAATTCTTCCCAATGACGCCTAAAATAGACTACCACAGCTTTAAATCAGTGATTAATTAGGGTAGATGAAACTATGCTGAGGTATATAGGTATATGCTGAATGTCATCCTTAATTTTATTGCTTTATTATGCATCTATGTACTGCTAGCCCCCGGTCCTGGTGCAACCACACACCTCCTGACACACGGCCAGTACACGCAAACGTGTAGAATATGTGTGTATTCCAGAGTGTTAGCTGCATGCAGAGTGCCAAAATATATTTTGAGAAACATTAAAGTTGATAATATAACTGTGTACTACTGACTGTAGCGTTGCACAGTATAACAGAAAAAGAGCTTCATTTTAAAACACATCTTTTCATTACTCAGACTCCAAAAGCCAGAAACAACTTGACAATACTAAAACAAACAAACTTCTTCTAACTCTTTCATGGACATAATCGTGTTATAAAATTGATTGATTTATAATTGGATATAGGTATAAATGTATATACTGTTGTTAAACCAAGACCTTCATTCCACACTATAGGGCAATCAAATTACTCCAGCCATTTCTTTAAAATTTTATATGGAATATCTTTGTTAGACCCAGAAAATAATAAGATAAATAATTTTTATATTTCTGACAACTTTTTTTCCTTGTCCGTTTCTTTCAGTCCTCTGAAATTTTCTTCAGCTGGACCCTTCAAGTGCAGCATCGACGCAGAGACAGACCTTTTCTCTCCGACCTCTCCGCCAGTAGCTCCAGTTTCTGTGCCACTGGAAAATGGAACCGCCAGTCAGCCCATCAGGACGCCCGCGAGGAACAAGAAGCAGAAGGGCCATCGGAGATGAGGAGGATAATCTTCAAAAAGCCAGCCTACGCTGCAAGACCTTGGTCAGATTGATATTTTTTCTAGCAGACAGTAAGAGCTGAAGTGTTTTGTTTTTGCTGGTATAATGCTTTTTTGAAGTGGTTTAACAAATACAGTTGTACTTGGGGCTTATGTTCAGGACTTCCTGTTTGCCATATAACTATCTACAGTAAGATTCACTGGATCGACATGGAGTTTTCATGCTTTTTCTTTATGAAGACAGTTTGAATAACTTCAGTTTCATCATTTGTCTCAGATAGTCACTATAAGCTTTAATTTACAGCTTCCATATGTCTGCACTTATATAGCTCACATTGTGGCACTAATGCATGGGAAATAATGACTTGTATAACAGTGTTTTCTACAAATAGCACTATAAAGTGGGCAACAGAACCACACTGAATCCATCATGAGGAGTCAAGGTCAGTAAATGATGGATTCATTGGTAAATGTGTAATTTTGTATGTAGACCCTGGTACAATTACAGCAAAGGGAAGCTGTGATATAAAGTTGTTTGGGTTTAATTAGTTCATCAGCTTTTAATTAGTTCATCAAAGTTTGTGCAAGGAGGTCGGCTATCACAGGCTGACATTTTAATTAGAGAACTGATGAAGGATCACTTCATTGAAGTCCTGATTCTTTTCCATTAAGGTTGAACTGTGAAACTGACCTTCAGCCATCAGGTTTTCAAGTAACTTTTGACGACGCAAGCTTAAAGTTGTAAGATTTTGTTCATGTGTCGGGGTGGGATTCATATCAAAATCTACTTAATGAAATGCTACATCGCACACAGAAGATAATGTATTTACGAATGTCAGATTTTATCTTTACTGATTTCTGTATGAAAGTCCAGCGACATTCATCAGTGTTTGTCACTTCTCTGAGATTTCTGAACAGAGTCTTCATGTCTACTGCCAAAGCTTTAACACATCCTATCCTCATATTGTACAAACGGACCAATCACGCTATAATAATGCATTTAACAAGAAGGATATACTGCACTTAATAATTTGGGCGAATAAAGAGGTAATCAGTAATCATCCTTCATCAAAATAGGACCTTACAGTATGTTCACATAAACACATGCGTTCACATCAACACATGCATTCATATAGTTAGTACAGTGTACAGTCAAAGCAGGCTGTTAAAGTGGTGCTCTCAGAAAACAAGTTATAATCTTGTACAAAAAGAGTATTTTGGGTTACTGAACAAGCCTATTTTTACACATGAAACCTAGGTCAAATAGTATTTAAAGAAATAATTCAAATCCAAGATATTTTGAAGTGTTTGTCATTGCCTGACATACCTGTCAGGAGTGATGCTTGATTGAGTCACTGCAGTCAAACACCAATTCAGCACTAGGATGAATCACAGAAAGGTGTGATGTTCATTTGATGCCAAAATATTTGTTTTCTTAGAATAAATGATTCATCATTCATGGTTCATTTGTACCAAATTCTGGACCGTGTCGCTATACCTCGCATTATTACAGTACAGTTACAAAAAACACAGTTAAGCGTGCATGAGTCTTAAGGCACTAAAACACAGGCAGCTCTTCAAGACAGCAGAGACAAAATGATCTTGATTGTAAGTGTAAATATTAGAAATTAATTTAGGGTAACAAAATATGACCTATAAAAATGAACTATAAAGCTTTCAATCATTGCCTTCAATCCAGTGATGTATATATGTATGTGTGATGTATGTACAATCAGAGGAAACGGAGATAGGCAAGTACTGATGGAGTAAAGCTGGGTGGAAACATCCCACAAATCGTTGTAAATTAAATAAATAATGGCTGAAGAAGTTAATGTGCTTCTATTTGTCGGCTAAATCATCCATTTGCTTCAGTTCTTGAAAACGCTGCCTGTCTGTCATTGTCTTTCCTGGGGAATAAGGACTGTATTTTACCAAGTGTTCAATATCACATACATAGATACCGTAATGTAAGAAATAACCATATGAATATACGCAGACAAAATACTACTAACTAACTATGAAATCAGGAAAATAATCCAAAAAACATCGGGCTACACTAGCAGCATGGGTCTAGGGATGGCAGTGTCAGTCTGTCGGTGGCTGATCGGGTCACTACTTCGGTCGAGACTGAATTATCTCAGCAACATTTGTACATTCACGGTTTTCAGAGGATGTAGAACCTCGTAATGACTTTGGAGATTCCCTGGCTTTTCCTCTAGCGCCACCATGAGGTTCACATTTGGGGTTACTTCTTATCATTCATCAGCTTCAGCTTTACTTTACAGCTGTGCTAAATTATTAAATGTTAGCATAACTATAGATAAACTAAGATGGCGAACATCAGCATGTTAGCACTGTCACTGTGGCCGTACTGATGTTGCATTTACCTCAGAGTACGTCACTGAGCTGCTAACGTGGCTGCAGACTGTGGCATTCAGACAGAATATGGTAGCGCTGTGGAATAAACTATTGACTATGGACATTTTGAAATTAAAAAACTAAATTAAGATAAAATGACCAGGAAAAAAACTGTGAAATAATGTTTGAAAATAATGAGCTTAATTTTAAAGGTCCAGTAGGATTTAATGGCATCTGGTGGTATAGTTGCATATTGCAACTTCCTCACTTCACCCTCCCCTTCCAAGCACAGTGGAGAAGCTACGCGATCTGTATAAAAAATCCAAATGGCCCTATTTAAAGCCAGTGTTTGGTTGTTTGTTCTGGGCTACTGTAGAAACATAGCAGTTCAATATGGCGGCCTCTGTGGAAGAAGACCCGCTCCATTTGTAGATAAAAATGTCTCATTCTGTGGTCAGGAAAACACAATTTGCAATTAAGGTGATTATACAATAATGAAAACATAGCTATGAATATTATATTCCATTTCTGCCAGTAGATCCTTCTGAATGTTACACACTGGACCTTTAAGCATTTAAATGTACTACAAGGAGTTTTTAACCAGTTATAAAACAGTCTCAGATTAATACTGATGCCTCTATATATATTATATTATTAATACTGATGCCTCTATATGACCTACATAAACAAACAACACCATCTGCAAAAAGATTGGCTATTTTCATATACTCATTCTTAATGCCTGCCACCGGGTTGGATTCAGTTTGATTCCCCCTGAAATCAATGAAACAAGGCAGTAGAAACACTTGCGCTTTTTTCTCCACAGGGGCTGAGTTTCTTGTTGCTGCTTTAAGTTAGTCACGGTATTATTTTTGAACAATTTGATGGTTATGTATTTTATCTGTGTTTATACATATGATTATTTCGTAATATCTTGCATATTTATTTGATATTGAACACAATTTCGTCTCCATAAAATTGAGCTGCTTTACTTTTTAAAAGGAAGATTCTGGTTTTCCTGCTCCTGTTTGCAGGTCTCTCCTGCCCACACATAATGTGGGAGCAAGTTATTCCTTCCTTCCTCCACCAGCCTTCCTTCATTAACACTGGATACAGGGTCTGTACATGTTTGATGCTGAAACAACAGCCCGTTTCACCACTGTGTGAACTGCACTCAGAGAAATGGGTAGCTCTTCACACTGCAGCTCGTTTCTGTAATGACGCTGTAACTATGCCGCGAGGAGGTATCAACTCGTGAATTGTAAGACAAATAATTTGTAATGCAAGGTAAAAAGACAAAGACGCAAGTTGTCAGCCTTTGCAGTTGGAATGATTGTGTTTGGTTTTGTATATTTATTTACATGATGAATGATAATTATGGAGTGATAGATAAATTGATGTGAATAGGATTCTACACCTCCAGAGCTAATGCGGAATTTAAATTCTACAAAGAATTTAATCGAGTGGATTACAGATCACATTTTTGTGATAATTGCTGGACTTTTTCTTTTGTGTCTTGTTTTCCTTCTGCTAACTGATGAATGTTATGAATAAAAAACATTATTGCTGAATTGTTGTATTCAGAATTTTATTTATGCAAGTTTCATTTCTGATGGATGGGTGAATGCTTTCCCAAGTCCAAAGAAAATAAAATTTGATCAAAGCACACATTTTTTAAGTATATTTATTCAGGGTAGGTACCAAATGTTCTGATTTATAAAACTAAAATCAAAGAGACGTCCATCAATATTTCTTAGTTCCCAATGCTGTGAAGAAGCCTTCTTTGAAAACACTAGTACAGACCATTACATCATTAGTACCATCTACCTTGAGCAGTTCTCCAAAACATTTCCTCCACTTTTTAGTATGATAAAAAAATGTATCACATTTGATCATTTCTTTGTTGTCAATAGAGTGGTAGAAATCACAAGTCTTCCTTGATGCTTGTCCTTCCTTTCCACCCCTCTTATTACCTTCACATTTATTTACTGTAGCTGACCAAATCAACTTACAAGTGCATTCAGCCATGTGGAATAAATCCCAAAAAACAGGAGTGCTACATTTATAACTAGTGATGCACCGTTACAGATACCAGTATTGGGTACTGGTGCTCAGGTTCTTAATAATTAGTAATTGTAATCATAAAACTACGTTACGTTACTTCTCGTTAGTTGAGTAGGAGAAGAAATGTTTGGAGATACTTTTACAACAACATTGGCAACATTAAATTTATTACAGTCAGAAAGTGATGAACATGATGAAAATAAAACATCTGTAATGGTATTATTAAGTACTCATATTGGCAAGTGCCCAAATGTAAGTACTTGTATTTGGTCTGAAAAAAGTAGTATTGGTACATCCCTAGTTAGAACAATACAACAACAAGACTATTTTTTTTTTATGGCCAAGATGCAGTCCGAACAGAGGAGTTTTTAGTGTGCGACAGATGATGTGTAGAGATTCTGAAGTCCTGATGTCAATGGTGAGCTAGTTGCACCATTGTGGAGCCAGGACCGCAGACAGTCGTGATTTTGTTGGGCGGCAGACTCATACTGAGGGAGACATAAGCTTATTGGCAGTCGTGGAGCGTAGTGGACGGCTGCGGTGTGTGGTTTGACCATGTCCTGAATGTAGGATGGGCATCAGCCATTTGCAGCACGGTAGCCAAGTACCAGTGTCTTGAATTAGATTCGATCAGCCACCAGTAGCCAGTGCAGGGTGCGGAGGAGGAGCAGTGTAGTATGGGAGAACTTGGGTAGGTTGAAGACTAGCTGGGTTGCTGCATTATTGATAAGCTGCGGAGGTCAGGTGGCACATGCAGGCACAACAGCCAAGAGTGAGTCACGGTAGTCTAGGCACTAGTCTAGGTGAGCAATGGATTAATCGTCTTGATGTTGGGTAGAATTTGCATTGGTTTTAGAGTGGGGGAAAAAGGCAAGAGTAGTTCAGTGTCATCTGCATATCTGTGGTAGGAAAAGCCATGTGAGTGAATAACAGAGCCAATTATTAAACAACTCTTCGGCCTCCCTCATAGAATGTAACATCTTTGATTTTGGGAGGAAGAACCAGTGCAGACATGGGAGCAATCAAGAGAACATTAACAGAATCCGAGTGAGAAAGCGGTAATTGAATCAGCATGCAATCAGGAAGGATCACTGACAAAAAAAAATAAAGTACTGTAAAGGGGATCAGCAGAAAGTATATAAATGAAAATAGAGGAAATGAGTCGTTATCCTGGACGGGTGCCTCTTTAACATAGTAGTATGTACTTTTTTTCTTAACTTTACTGCCAATTTGATGTATTCAGTATATATATTTTTGGCCTGTCTAATAAATAAGTGTAATTTCCTAAACCTTTAATACAAATTAATGGCATTTTATTCCAACAGAATACAGTTAAAGCAGTAGCCATTTGATTCTATGCACTTTCATGAAGTTAATATTGTGATGGCAACCTTTAAAACTGTACTAGCAATATTTTTATGTCAACAGTGGAGCACAGAACCATTGGTTCTTAGCTGTATGTTGAGAAATACTTGGTGACACTTTATCCAGGAAACATAAATTACTATTAGTATCTACAGCAAATATGATAAATACGGGCAGGTGCACCTTTAAGGATATGCAGGCTGACTTCACTGACCTTCACTAACTGATAAGCAGCCTATTTATTTCATTTCCCAGCAACCAAAGTCAGCAGGCGCTACTTTACATCACTGATTCACGTCATCGCCTCAAAACTAAAATCATCCCAAAACACTACATGTGAACCCTTTTTCAGGTTCAGGTTAAATTTTCAGTGTCAGTGGTGCTTGCCCATTAACTGCTGCTCATATTCACAAACATACACTGAACTAAAATCACAGGACTTACTGTATTTAAATGTAGGTTTGAGTTTGGGTTTCTTCCTGAGTGTCTAACTTCCTGGGTCAAATTTCGAACTGCTTCTGGAAACTATGTGAACAAACATTGATAAATTGATATCTGAATGCAAACATGCTGATTAGTTTATCACAGATTGAAATGTGTAAACATGATTTGAGACTATAAATCCCAGAACTCTTTGGGACCTCCTTGTCAAAGACCATCTCTCATTCACCACAGCCAGGTAAGCCTTTCTGCTATACCTTCTTCACCGTAATGTGGGTTGAAGTGAATTTTAAGCTCTGAGTGATGAACTTTTCCCTCAATGGCAGGAACGTGTCATTCATCACCATGAAGCCATCTCTTGTCCTCTGTGTTCTCCTGGGCATCGTCCTCTCTGTCAGAGCTGCATCAGGTACGTGAACTAGAAATCATTCACATAAGCCTGCTACGTGAACTTACTTCTCTGTTTGACAGTTCTGTCTATAAAACAAATGCATTTTAAGGCAAAAGTTTAGGTTTAGCAAGAAAGTTTGCCTTAAATATCTGCCTTTTTCTGCTTTTTTTTATTATCTCCATACGCAGCTCCAATTACACCCCAGTATGGTTCCACCAATTTTGCATTAGGGTTGTCACATTTGAAATTAGAATTTTTGTTCGAGCATGGGAGAAAAATTCATATTTGAACTGTTTGAATTCAAAAGTCTATCAATGCAGCAGATAAGGAAGAAGAAAATTGCCTTGGTCTAGCACTTAAAATTTAAATCAGCTTGACGTATTGCATGCCCTATTTACCTATCAGTAAACTTAGCTAATAAATTAATCAGCCAATCAATTAATCAAGCTTTAGTTACAGTATATAGCACATTTCAAACACAAAAAAAGGAAGTTCAAAGTTCTTTAAAAAAAAACAACTGTTAAAAAAGGGATTTACCCATGCATGCCAAAACAACAACAAAAAAACAAAAACAAAAGCTGCAGTAGGTAACTTTTATAAAAATTACTTTTTGTCATATTTTCAGAAAAGTTCACTATATCCTCACAGTAGTACATGAGACAGAATATTTGTGAAAACATCTGGTTCCTCTGGCTCCTACTAGTGCTCCTAATGGTTTTTGCCAGAATCCACAAAAACATCCAATCAGAGGTTAGGTTAGGCTATATAGGCTTTATACTAATATCAACTACATTCATGTTTTAAAAGTTGGAAAAGATGTGTTGATTTGTGGTGGATATAATTTTGAAATTTTGGAACAAGATGATCTTTTCAACTAATGCAGGCTTTAATTCTCTTCTTCACAGTGCTTCCCTTTGTAGAGGCGTTCACTGTCACTGCAATCACTGATACAGTAACTCCTCTGACAGGGATTGTCAGTCAGACCACTGAGGCCACTAATACCAACAGTGGGCAAACTACACAAAACTCTACACCAGTCACATCAATTCCTTGTTGTGCAACATCTCCAATATCTCCATCATCACCATCACCAATCCCCACTACACAAGCGCCTCTCACACCAAACCAGATGATGTGTCCTGATGGATGGGAGGTGTTCCAGGGACGTTGCTACTACTTTGTGATTGAGGGCATGACCTGGCCTCAGGCTCAGGTAAACACAGAACAAGACTACATCACCAAACACACTCTCTAGAAAACCCAAGGTTCATGATAATTAATTATTAATGAATGGATTCTTGGATTTTCTGCATCAGTTTCTTCTTTAACAAACATTTTTACGTTACAATGTTAGACGAGATTATCTTTTATTCCCTGATGTGTTTTGTTATATATAATGCCGGGGTAAGTGAAGCCATAGAACAGGCAGGCAGTTTTTAACCAATCATTCTCTATAAATGCTATTTATGGAAGCTCATTTCTGCCATGAAAAATAGTAATTTTAAATATTTTTTACTTAGAATGTTTACATAAATAAATAGCTGGTAAGTTAAAACTTTGACTTGCTTACTATCTCATTGTTGTGATTTACTATCATAATTTCTAATTAGTGGATAATAATATGGTCATTTTGATTTTGTAAGTCAGAATTTTTACAATATAGCAATTCTGATGTAAAAAGTCATGATTGAGTATCAAATAATTACAGTAATTATGGGCTCTTTTTTGGTTTCGGCACAGAACAGAGCATCTGCTAGTATTTTCTTGCTTGTGAGCCATGACAAAAACGGTTTAAACTCAAAGGTGTACAAGTGTATTACTTAAACATAGTGCAACTCAAATCACATACAGAAACACACTGAAAAGATGAGTCAGTGGGAAAAACACACAGCAGGCCCTGCTAAGGCAGGAGGCCGTCATTCCAGTTTTAACCTCACATCTGACATCATCATCTAATTTCTATGCAGGAAATGGTCTGTCTTTATAAAGCAGGACCTTGACCATAAAGGCTGATTTGAACGTGTCTCTTTTTGTCCCTCTGTCCTCTTCTCCTCCTCCAGTCGAACTGTGCCATGCTTGAGTCCATGTTGGTCTCTGTCCACAGCGCTCAGGAGTATGGTTTCCTCCAGCAGCTCACCAACAATAATGAAAATCAAGAAGCTTGGCTGGGCGGTTTCTATCTGCAGGTACAATCATTATGTAATGTTATTAGCCACAGAGGCAAAAATCTGCAGTACCAAAAAGAAATAAAGGCATTCGAGACAATAAGAATCAGAAAGGATGTAATGTGTATGTTTTTATGCCGATCTGTCTTTGCGTGGTCACTTGAACACACTAACTACATAATATTACATGATAGAAACTGATCTGAGACTTTGGAACACCTTGCTGTATACATATGCATCAACAGGGATAGGCTGATTTATTTGAGAGTGTTACTACTCCTCAAAGATTGTTTCCGCAGAGACATTTGCTAATTACTGCATGACTTATCTTAAAAAATGGCCTGAATCACAATTTAAGCATTGAATCTATCATGATGATGAAACACCATGAAAGCCAAGGAGCTTAATGTCGAGCCATGCTGCAAGCTGTAAAAAAAAGCAACGTAACATGAGCCTTGGGTTTTTCTTTGAAGACAGTGTCAAGGCTTGTCGCATCCATTCAGAACTGCATCTGCATTTCTATCCAAAACAGAACCAGACAAAAACTAAACAGCCCAGTGAAACTCACTCCATTCCGCTCACTCTGTTGGGATTTGGGTATTTGCTCGCACATAAAACAATCAAGAGAAGATTAAAGGTCAGGAAGAGAGGGGTTGCCGTTTTCTATATTGATGTACTTTTTGTTAGTTTTCAGTATGACTATGAGAAAATGTCAATGCACTTGAGTACTGTGGTATATTGTTTAGTGATATTGTATCAAGTTTTTTTTAGCCCCCAATCCAATTAGAGCCATTTAATACTGAGTCCCGATCCTTTTAGATAATACAGGTGCACAGTGCACACTTCAAGAGCTCAGAGTGGAGAGGCGGACAGTGGAGAGAGCTGATGACAGCTATACCGTGCATGAGCTTCGTGGGTAAAAAATAGCTGTGTGACAGCTGACATAAAACAGAAGATCAGATCGTGTCAGTAAAGTTCAATACAGCCAAAACTGATCAGTTTAAAAAATGCCTTGATCGGGCCTACTTTTATCAGTTCTCAAAAACGCTATTGATTTTGTTTGTGTTTAAAACCCTAGCTGCTAGATAGCAGTGTTGTAAACAGAGCTGTGATGTTGATGATACAGGGACTGTGATAACAACAAATGCAGATCCCACTGTTCTGGTTACATTAAAAAGAAAACTTTCGTATTTTAATTATTATGTATACTTTATGACTTAAATAAATTAAATTGTAAAAATAATGTGCGAAAATGCCTTGCTTTCAGTATTGCAATATGTTGATTTGCAGCTCCCATATTGTGATACGTATTACATCGGCAGATTTTTGCCAATTCACAGCCCTAGTTTTCAGCACACCTTTGACAGTGCTAATTTAGTGTTAGCTGAACAAAGATAGGTTATATACAAAAAAATTCTAAATAGAGTGTTTTCCCCTTGTGTTTTTGCTTTAATCTAAACTTTTCTTTGGTTGTGTTTGTTTTCTAACATGTTGCTATCTGACTTTTATTCCATCCATTGCTGTTTTAAGTTAGTCTCCATTGTACAACAAAGCCTTGATGATGATCTTGTGCTTCCCCTCCAGGACCAGTGGTTATGGCTTGATGGTTCCTGGTTCTACAACAACAGCTGGAGCATGGAGTCCCCAGACAGCAGCAACCCCTGCCTAATGCTCAGTTCTTATGGTAAGAAAACACGCACATGAAGGTCCAGGGAGCCTTATAATACAGTGTATAAGA